ACAAAACACTTCGGCTCAGGGGTGTCATCTGCTAACATATTAATATGTAGCTTCTTGTCAAGGCAGATAAGGAGATTTCCCTCTCCCATCTTCTTCCTCAGGCTTAGGACTACATCTGGTCCGAAGGTAGTGGCGCCTGTGTGCACGGAACCGGACAGGCAAATTCTGGAATTTGCCTCCCATATGTGTCCACAGGTACCTTCATCCAAGATGAACAGTCCTCGTTACCTGCTAGCATCCAGGACACCAGTTCCTCCAGTTTCCTGTCTGCTAGGTCAGTCACAGGTCCAGCTGAGCCATGATAGTTGCACCCAGGCGTCTTACCGTAGCCAGCTGCACCCATGACTGTCGTAACCTGCCTTTTGGCCTGGGGAGCAGACCAGGCCACAACTGCCTCAGTCTCCCCATGCCTAGACCTCTGGGGGTCTCTTCCTACCGGTGGTTCCCAAAGCTGAACCACTGACATGCCCCTCTGACAGTTACCCTTCTCGACTGTCAGACTAGGCACGGGCAGTTGGTTCCTGACTAGTGACAGGGGCCAAAGTTGCTCTTCCCAGATAGGGCTGAACACCGCAAGGCCCCTAAAGTGGGCAACTGCACCCAGTTCCACTCTGCATTGCAGGTCATTCCTGACCCCTGGAGAGGCGGTTGGTGCGTTCTCAACCCCAACTAGCTCTCCCGTGGAAAAGTGTTAGCTGGTCCCGCCTTCCTTGGAATGTCTTGAACTCTGGGGAAAGCTTGCCTTATCTTATACGAGGTGTTACATTTTACAGGTTCTTAGGCCCCAGCTCTCTTGGGAACTTTATAGCTCCTAACCCCCTGCTGGGCCCTGGCCTCCTGTGACACTCCTAACACACATACACACTGGCCAAATGTTGCTGTGACTCTCAGAAAGGGAGGGGGAGAATGAGGGGGAAATATGTTTGTCAGGATGGTTAACCCCTTTGCCAAGATAGGGTTGAAGCCAAAATGGTTGAACCGCGTCCATCTCTGTGTGTACGCAGTTACAATGGTGTGTTCAGGGTGATGTGCAGTGTTAGTTTTCCGCCACACATAGCGTTTTGCTTTTAGGCCAAAATGTTCAATTGTGGTCTCATCTGACCAGAGCACCTTCTTCCACATGTTTGCTGTGTCCCCCCACATGGCTTCTCACAAACTACAAACGGTACTTCTAATGGCTTTCTTTCAACAATGATTTTCTTCTTGCCACTCTTCCATAAAGGCCAGATTTATGGAGTGCACGACTAACAGTTGTCCTGTGGACAGATTTCCCCACCTGAGCTGTAGATCTCTGCAGCTCCTCCACAGTTACCATGGGCCTCTTGGCTGCTTCTCTGACTAATGCTCTCCTTACCCAGTCTCTCAGTTTAGGTGGACAGCCATGTCTTGGTAGGTTTGCAGTTGTGCCGTACTCTTTCCATTTTCGGATGATGGATTGAACAGTGCTCCATGAGATGTTCAAAGCTTGGGATATTTGTTTATAACCTAACCCTGCTTAGGTTATAAACAACTTTATCACTGACTTGTTTGGTGAGTTCCTTGGCCTTTTATGATGCTGTTTGTTCACTAATGTTCTCTAACAAACATCTGAGGGCTTCGCAGAACAGCTGTATTCATACTGAGATTAAATTACACTCAGGTGGACTCTATTTACTAATTAGGTGACTTCTGAAGGCAATTGGTTCTACTAGATTGTAGTTAGGGGTATCAGAGTAAAGGGGGCTGAATACAAATGCACACCACACTTTTCAGATATTTATTTGTAAAAGATTTTGAAAACCATTTATCATTTTCCTTCCATTTGACAATTATGTGCCACTTTGTGTTGGTCTATCACATAAAACCCCATAAAATACATTTACATTTTTGGTTTTAACATGACAAAATGTGGAAAATTTCAAAGGGTATGAATACTTTTTCGAGGCACTGTATGTTATTGATTAAAGTGTGTTTGAGCTTCAGTATCCAGGGTGCTCTGATGTGTTTCTCTCTTAAAATCTATGTATCTCCAATCACTAAAAATCTCAAGCTTTAAAGAGACACTGTCACCTTGCCTATGTAGGGGAGGGGGCCACATACTAGCTATTCCTAGAAGTGCCTGGTAGTGTCGCCAGTTGTGGGTAAAGAAGGAGCAGAAGGGGAGCAGGTAAGGTGGGCCAGGGGGCGAAGACACTATCATTTTGCCCGCATGGCCAAGGTGTGACAGTCTCTCTCTAAAATGTTAATGTTATTTCAAAAGTGGTTTATAATACAATAATATATTTAAAGCAGAATTCCAGGTAGGTATCATTTTGCATAATTACTGTACATTGGTTCAGCTTAGACCAAAAGTGTATATGTGCCATACCTGGCCAATCCCTGTGGTAGCTGGAAATGACTGTAGTAGGTGCAGAGTACAGTGATCGCTGCTAGCTTCCCGTCCTGTGCCAAGCCCTTAGTGAATACAGGAGGCCATTTAGAAAATACTTTGCACTTCTTCAATGAATACAAAAGATTTTCTAAGTGGAGGAATCAGGGATCATGACAGCCCCACCCAGTCTCTCCACATGGTCAAATCAGAAATCATTTTGCATTCACTGAAAAAAGTGTTCTCTGAATGTCATCTGCATCAAAAGAGTGCTCTCCATTCAGTATGCAGCAGGGCAGGTGATTGGCACGGGACCTGGAAACTTAGTGATGATCATGGTAGTAGCGGTGTCTACGACAGCGATTTCCAGCTTCCACAGGGATTGGACAGGCATGACATACTGTTCAAAAAATATGCATACTTGGAATTCAGCTTTAATTCACCAGCCTTTGTTAAAGCAGAACTCCCGCCAAAAATAACAAGATAAAAATGAGCAGCTCATTAAAAGATAAAATAACAAAACCAGCTTTTGCTGGAATATTCACCTGTAATCTAGAGATTTCCCCTGCAGTACTTTTTTTTCTGCCACTAGATGTTTGGCGTGCATCATTCAACCCACTTCCTCTGAGCCTGTGAGTGCACAGTGAAAGGAGAAGCAGGACATTGTCTCCTTGTGCTGCTTCTTCCTCTCCCACTCCAGCCCTGCTGTACAGGCTGCAAGAGGCTGATACCAGGTCATATTTTGGTACTTACCTTAATTGCATTAAATAATGCATTTAAAAAATGTATTAATAATTACAGATGTGCAATTATTAATGTATTTTATATCTGCCTAGATATAGGCTTTAAATAATCTCTAGTAATCCCACTATGAAGATCCTTGTTCAAGCATTTCCTGTTATAGGGTGACAATGCTCTGTCACAATCTCCAAATTGTTGTCCTTGGACAGGCACTACATTACGAATTTTTTTTGTTCAACTAGCAGGTTAAACAAAAAAAAAAAAAAGGCCCAATTCCCCCTCCACACATTTGAGGTGGATGAGGGAATCCTTCCTGTAGAGTTCCCTGCTGAACAGGCCAAATTTCAATCCATTGGTTGTCACCCTGTTCCATACTCTCTCAATGCAGACTATAAACAGTCATGCTGACACATATTGTACAGGCATGGTCCACTGTTGTCTTTATCAGGAAATGAGAAATGACATGCAGCCAACCCTGGAGTACATGTAGAAAGGAAGTGGCTGCTAAAAGGCTGCAGGAGATCAGTTGCACTGAGATGTCACAAAGGATTAATAAAAGGTTAAAAGAATTGTATTTAAAAATTGGTAATTGTTTATGATCCACAGTGCTTAAGCAATCTAAATTTCATTCAAGATAAAAGTTCACTTTAAAATGTAACTCCTCTGTTGTGGAAAAAAAATAGCATATACAATTGTGAAACAAGTGATGTTGTGATTGAATGTTATTGATAATGACTTTTGTTCATGATCTGCAGTGCTGTAAGTTTTTGGTAAAATTCAATGCACTATGGCTACACAGATGGAGTACAGAACACTCCCCAGATATGTCATTTCCTGCTTATGTGATTGTATCACTGACTTTTGGGCATCCCCTGCAACAAACATGTCATTTTCAGTGAGATACTGCCAAAGAAAAATTGCATCTAAAGGGGTGCAAACCCTGCCATTTTCTTCATTAGAACTCTGCAGGTGCAAGAGCTGATTGATAATTATAAAATCACTCCCATACAGAGTCACTCTGCACATGAACACAGAAACAAACAGCTATTTCTTCAGAATAAAAAAAGGTAGGAATCTACAACAACGTTTGTTAAAATCCTTGGAATGTACATTGATCACCCAGAGGAGATTATTTTTTTTCTCAACAAAGGTGGAATTGCTCTTTAAAATGCTGTTCACACTATGGTATATTAGCAACGAGAAGCAAAATAAGTGTGGTATTGCAGTGGCTTTCATTTTAAATTTAACTCCAACACACTTGGCAGTGCAGCACAATGCGCTGGTATTGTAGCGTTCAGCATCACACAGATGTCAACCATCTGTCCATTGGGATACTCTGAGTTACAAACAATAACGCATGTCCTTTTTTCATGCATAATATGAATAGTGCCTCACAGATAAATGGTGCCCATTGTGTCCTAAACTTTCAGAGTTTTTGAAAATAAGCTCTGAAATGTTTTTGGTCCTTGAAAATGTACCTATTTAAATTTTCACCAATAGTGTTTTAGTGTCTCCAGCCAGAAACAATAATGGCAGTACCACCTGCCTGGAGTTTGCATGTTCTCCCTGTGCCTGTGTGGGTTTCCTCCGGGTACTACAGTTTCCTCCTACAGTCCAAATACATGCTGGTAGATTAATTGGATCCTGTCTAAATTGGCCCTAGTATGTGTATGCCTGAATGTAAGTTAGGGACCTTAGATTGTACACCCCTTGAGGGTTAGGGACTGATGTGAATGTACAATATATATGTAAAGCGCTGCGTAAATTGATGGCACTATATAAGTACCTGTAATAAATAAATAATATACCATCAGGTGGAGCACGTCAGGTGTTGGAGTTTTTGGTCTTTCTAGGTAGAACATGTTAGTGGTGTGTTGTAAGCTTACATGTGTCACCTTCTCTGCCTTGCAGAATGCATCACCACCACGGAATATTCATGCTCGCCCTCCTGGCATTCCTACTGGTGCTCACAGTCCTCGGAACAGACACTGCAAAGAAAGACAAACAAGGTAAACTCAGGATTTCTTCAAAGGAGCAGATTTTGTTTTAAAGCTGAACCCCAGCCTTCCCTTCAGTCTTGCAGAGTTGTATAGACTCCTCTACTGTACTAAAACTTGCTTACTCTGATTTCACTGCACACTGTGAGCATCTCACAATGTGCATTAGAAGCTGCAGAAGTCAGAGAGAGGCCACCTTATTTCTTGGAAGGAGGCCACCCAGCATCTTCCTCCTGAGCCTAACTGTCCCTGACCCGTCCCTTTTATTAACTGGATTTCAGTTCTTTCAACTGTGAAGCTTCACAGAAGGAGTTGAAGCAAACAAAGATGGGTGGAAACATTGAAATACCTTGCTGTTCATTGTGGCAGTAAGGTCTCATTGCTGGAGTATACAAGACACATAAAGGGCCCCCAAGGCTGCAAACATAACTTTAAATATCACTTTTGGCTTTACTGTGCCTTTGGATAACCGTGTGTACTCTACAGCACTCCAGGAAATGAATTGCCAAAGGGAGGCCAAGGGGACCAGGATAGAAGTGGCCTAAAGATAATGCTTCAGGGGTGCAGCCCTCCTCAGACGGGGGAAATCAACCACTGGAAAAAGAGCAGACAGGGGGTGCAAACACCTAGTGCATTATCCAAGATTCATTCAAAGGTGTAAAAGACAAAAACATACTCACAGACATAGCATGTATAAAAAGCTTTTGTATAATGGAGATGGCCACAACAACAGGCAAGGTGTTCCAACAGTCAGTGTGATCAGGATGCTGATGCGTTTCGGGGACGAGTCCCTTTCCTCAGAGCTACTAGCTGCTAGCTCTGAGAAAAGGGACTCGGCTCCGAAATGCATCAGCCTCCTGACCATCATTAAGTGAATGAGGTGAAGCTGTGCTAACATCAATTATCCATTCATGTGCAAGCAAAAATTAATGTTTTATATTTTTCCTGCAAATAATTGGGTATTCTTTGCAAAATGGGCATGCCTTATTTTTTTAGTAAATCAACCCTTGGGACTCTTCAAGCAAGTGGGCAGAATGAATAAAACAAACATATTCCTCCATCTAAACAAATAAGGTGCCGTAATATTATATTCTGACACTGGGACCCGTCGCTATCACAATACACTGATCATTGGCTGCAGCCAACTAGCTGAAGCTGCTGATCGAGAAATGTTTTCCTGCATGTCCTTTCAGCAGAAGTCAAATTTGGCCAGTTCAGCAGGCTGGTTTCAATCATTGGATGGCCAGCTTTACAGAGCTCAGCCACATTAGTGACTCGACTTTCCTTAAATACTGCTTGATCATCTCCCTGCTCCCAGCCTGTGACTGGACAGTGAAAGAGAAGCAGCAAACTGATGACTAGGGATGAACAAAGCTTTATGGCAACCTCTTGAACTCTATCGGGGGGGGGGGGGTAAACTTGTTCTGGTCATTTATAGGACTAATAAACTTGCTTTTAGGAAACAAAAGTTACGGGCATTGCCATGGGGGTATGTACCAATGTCAAAAAAGAAAAACAAAAAAAAAAATTTCTCCTTAGACAGAATTGCCAGCTCTTCTTAACAGCCCCAACACACAAAGACATGGCTACTGTGGGCTCACTCTACTATAGAAAGTGGGTGAGAATAACCGTTACTTACAATTATTGGCTATTGTGACTCAACTGATTGGGGAAATGGTCATGTGCTGCATTATACGTTGTTTCCTATCTCTGTTGGTGAACCTACAAAGTTTTCAGCCAAAAATATGCAGTTTGCAAACTTTGATACACCTGAGAATTTGATGCCAAGTGAAATTCAGGTACTTACACTAGCTGCATTTAAATGACTTTAATAAACCCATAACTGCTTTAATTGCTGATTCTTAATACCCGCCTGGAGTTCAGTTTTAATCCTTGAAAACATGTTTTCTTATTTTTATATTCAAAGGGAAGTCAAATAGTTTTCCATAACAACCACATTTTAGCTGTTCTCCTACCAGAGTGGATTATCATTTTTTTAAATTTAATGGATTAATTAAACACTTTTATTCATTGGAGTGAAAACATTTTCCACTTTACAGAGAAGAAGGCCAAGAAGTCAGACTGTGGTGAATGGCAATGGAGTGTCTGTGTCCCCTCCGCCGGTGACTGTGGTATCGGGATGCGGGAGGGTACGAGGTCAGGAAAAGAATGTAAACAAAACGCAAAAACCCAAAAGTGTAAAATCCCATGCAACTGGAAGAAGCAATTTGGAGGTGAGCAGATCGAATATGTAAACTATATCTATCTATCTATCTATCTATCTATCTATCTATCTACCTCTATCTATCTATGTAAAATGGTGATTGTCAGTAAAAGGAACATGGGAGGGCAGCTACTACATAACAATGGTGGAAAAGGCGTACTTAATGGTAATTGTGCCATGACATGGTGAGATTCTTCTCAGTACACTGAATGCTCTCCACTAGACCTCATGACAGCAGCAGCTGGGAACCGCATGCTTCAAAGCCACACAGCAGACAACATACCATCTCAATACATTTTCCCCTGTTATGGACAGGTGAATAGTACATACAGCTGACACTTTCACTTTATATATCAGATAGTGTGACATCATTTGTGGTGGTAATGACATGATCATTTTTTATTTAGCCATCTTACTCCACACAGAGGATTCTGCGTCCTTTGTTGGGGGAGCAAACTCTAGGCTACCAGTGGGGTTCACATTCAGTGGTGCCATGCTCCCCCAAGATGGAGACTTCTCACCCACAGACTGCCTTGCGAGATCAAAGAGACAACATCACTACTTAGGTGTTTGCTAAACTACTCCACAGTGTAGGCCTTGTTGCAGTTTCTCTCCTTGTGATCACTGCAAAGTTACAATGTTGCAGCCTGACCACTGGAGAAAAGGAGAGGAGGAAATAACTGATGTCATCATTTCAGTTTAGGCAAAGTAACTGAACTACAGCTCAAGAAATTTTTTTCAGAATTAAAAAATAAATAAATAAATATATATATATATATATATATATATAAATATATATATATATATATATATATACAGTTGTGTTCAAAATAATAGCAGTCAGGCATCACTAACCTGATCAATCACTGTTTTTAGTAGAAATGATATTTCTACATTGCAAATAATTTACTAGCAGGTGTAGTAGAGTAATAGAAATCCAACAGACCCAACAGTCATGACATGCATGCTGCTGATTCTGTGTAATTAAATCACTAATTGAAAGGGGCATGTTCAAAATAATAGCAGTGTGGAGTTCTATTAGTGAGGTCATTCATTCTTTGAAAAAACAGGTGGCAATTATTGCCCTTATTTAAGGAAGGAAGGCAGCAAATGTTGTACATGCTGGTTACAGTGCATTTCTCTCTGAAATTCTGAGGAAAATGGGTCATTCCAGACATTGTTCAGAAGAACAGTGTACCTTGATTAAAAAGTTGATTGGAGAGGGGAAAACATATAAAGAAGTGCAGAAAATGATAGGCTCAGCTAATATGATCGCAAATGCTTTAAAAAGGCAACCACGTGAAAGACTTGGAAGAAAGCGAAAAACTACGATTTGAATGGATAGAAAAATAGCCAAAATGACAAGGACCCAGCCAACAATCATCTCCAGGAAGATCAAAGGTCTAAAGTTACCTGTGAGTACTGTTACAATTAGAAGACACCTATGTGAAGCCAAGCTATCTGCAAGAAGCCCCCGCAAAGTCCAACTGTTGAAAAAAACATGTGCTGAAGAAGTTACAATTTGCCAAAGAGCACATTGACTGGCCTAAAGAGAAATGGCGCAACATTTTGTGGACTGATGAAAGTAAGATTGTCCTTTTTGGGTCTAGTGGCTGGAGACAGTTTGTCAGATGACCCCCAAACACTGAATTCAAGCCACAGTACACTGTGAAGACAGTGAAGCATGGTTGCGCAAGCATCATGATATGGGGATGTTTCTCATACTACGGTGTTGGGCCTATTTATCGCATACCAGGGATCATGGATCAGTTTGAATACATCAGAATACTTGAAGAGGTCATGCTGCCTTATGCTGAAGAGGAAATGCCCTTGAAATGGGTGTTCCAACAAGACAATGACCCCAAACACACCAGTAAATATGCAACATCTTGGTTCCAGACCAACAAGATTGACGTTATGGAGTGGCCAGCCCAATCCCGAGATCTTAATCCAATAGAAAACTTATGGGGTGACATCAAAAATGCAGTTTTCTGAGGCAAAACCAAGAAATAGAGAAGAACTGTGGAATGTAGTCCAATCATCCTGGGCTGGAATACCTGTTCACAGGTGCCAGAAGTTGGTTGACTCCATGCAACACAGATGTACAGCAGTTCTCAGAAACAGTGCTTATACAACGAAATATTCATTAAGTGATTCAAAGGAAAGCAAAATCTTCAAACATTTTTCAGTTTATATAGTGAATGTTTGAGTTTGTAAAGAAGAATACAAACACTGCTATTTTTTTGAACAGTCTAATATTCACTTTTCTTCAATTTTTTTAGAGGAACAACACAAATTTGATATATTTTTCTTCATGTTTTGATTTGGAATAGAATGTGTAGTGTTCCCAATGCATTTGTGTGTATGGAAATAAAAGCTATTAGAAGGATTTTGAGCTTTATTCACTTTTTTCAACACACTGCTATTATTTTGAACACAACTGTATATATATGTTGTGAATGTATACTGTGACCTGTCAGGAATGTCCATACAGACTTTTACATTTGCATGTATGACTGTGCACGAAATCATCACAAAAAACAAAGTAAATTGGGTTTACACTAATAAGTTTTTCCTACGTTAAAAACCAAGTATACTTACTGTTTTATTGCTTCCCCTTTCACCCTATAGCGGAGTGTAAGTACCAGTTCCAGGAGTGGGGAGAGTGTGACCCAGAGACTGGGGTAAAGACACGGAACGGAAGTCTGAAGAGAGCCCTCCACAACGCGGAGTGCCAGAAAACAGTCACCTTGTCCAAGCCATGTGGAAAGATCACCAAACCACCAAAATCTCAAGGTAAGAAAACTCCATGATGCACACTGATTTAGACTTCCAAAAAAGATCTGACGCTGATGGTTACTGTGAACAATGTGCGCCTGAAATGTCTGATGACATGAAAAACTGAAATGAGTCATAAAACAAAAAGCAGAACTGAATGGCTTGATCCATGTCCTTATCCCCCTGGACCTTTGAGAGTATCATGATTCAGGTTCTGTGGAAGAGTTAGGGAGATTTTTGAGAACTGTGTACAGATAAACCTGGCTCACCTGTGCCATAACATTTCTTTGATTTGAAGAGTTAAGTTGTCCATACACTGTTTAATTGTTGGCCAGCTCCTAAACTTACTTTTTAGGTGGCTCTGTCCGTACCCTCCCACCCAACATTCTTCAGATGAAAAATCAAAGGAGGCAGGGGGAAATGTTTGGCCAAACAGTAGTTGCATCCAGTCATATGCAGTAGCTGCAGAGTATTCTGACAGCTGGAGGCATCAGCTGTCAGAATACTGTAGGTTGAACAAAAAAAAAACTATGTATGTTGGCCACCCATTTATAGTTGACATTTTGGATTAAGACTGGCTTCTATGAGTTATAGTATATGGTTTCTTACATTTTCCTTGCTAGCCATTCCTTTTCTCTTTTTTCCCCCCTCAAATGTTTTTCAAGGCTCTTGCTGGTGTTGTAAATCAATAATATAAATGTAGGAGTATCTTAAAATAATATTCAGTTCACATATCCAAGTCAAACAACCCTATGTTCTTTTCCAGAGAGTGTAGTGTTTATTGAACCCCAGAAACAGATGACAAGTCCAACAGAGTATATACAAAAATAATATAATACTCAGAAGCACTATGAGACTGTTCAGAATACAAAGTTCTTCCTTTCATAAGCCAGTTCAAACTCCATTGATGTACACATCCTGATCCACTAAAATGTACAGGACGGGCCTTAGGTGTTTCAGAGGCAAACATGCTAAAGCAACACGAAGGTTGTAAAAAATACAATGGAACTAAATAATATAATAAATAGGTGCAGGAAAAGCCTTCAAAATTTCAAAGAAAAACCTGTGCATGAAGCTGTCAAGGGCCAAGGCGCATTATCTGGTAACAATAAGATAAACATGTTTGCACTATCAAGCAATGAATTTCCAATGCATTTTAGTAGAAGAAGAGGATATGTATATCAGTGGAGTTTTAACTGGCTAAAATTAATAAACAGCAGAACTTATTATTCTGCAGGGCTCCTGATCTTTATATTAGTTTGTAAATGTAGACCTGTTATCTGTTTCTGGGATGGAATAAACACTACACTCTCGGGAGAAAAAATTAGGTTGCATAGAACTTGCTTGAAGGTTGCATTTCCCAATATATATATATATATATATATATATATATATATATATATATACTATATTGCCAAAGTATTGGGACTCCCGCCTTTACACGCATACGAACTTTAATGGCATCCCAGTCTTAGTCCATAGGATTCAATATTGAGTTGGCCCACTCTTTGCAGCTATAACAGCTTCAACTCTTCTGGGAAGGCTGTCCACAAGGTGTAGGAGTGTGTCTATGGGAATGTTTGACCATTCTTCCAGAAGTGCATTTGTGAGGTCAGGCACTGACGTTGGAAGGCCTGGCTCGCAGTCTCCATTCTAATTCATCCTAAATTCACCCTAAATAAATCACTTTAAGTGTTATACTTACCAGACTAAAAGGGCTTACATACACTAACAGAAAACGTTTATGAAAGAGATATAAGAGCTGCTATTGCTGACCTCCTCCTGAAAATGCTAGTTGCCTGGCCATCATGCATATCAGTAGCTCTGAGTATTTTTTCTTTATACTCACTATGGGTCACAAAAAACAGAAGCCAAATCACCAGCATGAGAACTAGCCAAGGCCCATTTTTAGGACAAGGTCAGTAGACATGCTTTTCTCTTATGCCAGACTGCCTTTAAAATAAATAATCTAAGTGCAGGGATCGCACAGAGAAGTTATTGTGGGCTCTGAAAGTGTGGTCACTGCTGCTCTAGGGGTACAGCAAAAATTCAAGAAGGAGGGCATGGACTGTACCCAGGCTGCACAGTACAATACAGTAGCGTATATGCAGGCAGGAATTGTTATGGATCTCTGAGAATGTTTTTTTTTTTTGGCTGGGCCTAAGGTAAAGTATAGTGCTTTAATATATATTCTTTATATTGTATGGTTGGGTCTGAGAAAATAATAAAAAAAGCTAAATGTGAACTTTGACTTATGAATATTTGTGTTTTCATATGCAGCCAATAGAGGGAGCTCTCTGCTCCTGTTAATGTGTTTTCCAGGCTCCCCTTATCCACTCTATTGCAAAAAAGTGCATAGAACTCAATAGCTCAAGCTTAAATTTACACACCAAAGTGAATTCGTCAGAACAGTAATTTGTGCCCCTTGCTTCTTCTTGCTGTATCCCAGCTTTCAGTCAGAGACAGAGTGCCTACACTGCTGTGCTGTCTCTGCTGATTCCCCACGGTGTGCTGGGGATCATTTGCTATGTATTAAAATGTTTATCTGAGAAAGAATGATCGCATATTATTTTACCCTTATTGTTTACTGTTATCAAATTATCTTACTATGTTATAAAAAGTAAATATGGAAGTTTAAGAATGACAAAAAAAAATGGACAAAACAGATATTGGTTCTTTTTAAAACGGCTATGATTGGTCTCCTGTCCAGAGATGCAGAAGAATCTTACGTGGCCCAGGATTCCAAACAGTGAGATTGTGTTTCTCACCCTTTAGCAAAGTGTGGAATTCATCATCTGAGAAAGGGACCATTGTGAGACTATAATGTGTCAGAGGCAAATGTGTGAGAATTGTCCCAGTAGACCTTGTGTGGTGAACATACATGGAAAGGAACAGAAACAGTAGAGCTACACTCTGCACATTCTTACTGGGAAAATATAGAGTATTCTTTATGCATCCTAATTTATTGTTGTACTATTCATCTGCAAATGTGTTTCATGTGACTTTCACAAATTATCATCTTGCTATTCCATTGTCTGAATAATATATTGCATATATGGTAAAATAGATACAGTATGTAAAACGCTCCCTCTGGCAGTAATTTTTTTATCAGTTATTATGATGAGCATCCCTGCTGAAAGACTTTTGAGATCAGATTACTAAGTGGTGCAGAGAGCACTGTGTTTTCGGCTTTGAACTGGCCAGAGAGGATCACTGAGGCACCTTCATTGTGCAACATCACTAAGCAGGAAGCAAAAGTTGCATATGTGATCAGGAAATATTGCTGTTGTAATCAGGGCCATGGATTAGGGGGATACCACTGGTTCTCCTGTATGGGGCCCAGACCAGCGGTTGGGACCAGGCAGCCGGGTGAATCAGATGTGGGCAGGGAGGGAGATCAGCACAGCGGGGGGCAATTACTGGAACTGATCCCCTGTATGGCTCCCTCTGCAGCACCTCCCAATGCACCATACATTTCCCCATGCTGTTCAAGCCCCCCCATGTGCCCTGCCCCCCACCCCTTTCTCTTCTCTCCTTCCCAGCTGCAAACACAATATAGGATCCTTAGGATAAAGAATGGGGGAAGAGTCTGTAAATATGTCACATTTACCAGCCCTTCCTTTCCTGAATGTACACAATGAGTGATTGGTACCAATCAATCACTATGTTAATTCATAACTGAAGCATAGTAAACTTTGTTGATTTGAGGGCCCTGTCACGTTGGCTGTACCAGGCCCCATGGTTTCTGACAGCAGCCGTGGTTGTAATGCACATACTGTACATGTATGATTACAAATGAAAGAATATAACTTCTTCCCCCATCAGCGTAATGCACATATGTGTCAGAAAGGTGTGCCGCCTTAATGCCCTATGCATGCTTATATGTGTAGGCAGGTGGTCATGTAGCACTACCCCTTTGAGGGCCACTGAGTATTTTCCAGGTTCCCTTTCTTTCCTCAGCCGGCTTTGGAAGCCCAACCCCTGCTGACACCACCTTAGACCATTGGCCAGAATAACCCTCTGGTTGAAACCATAAAATAGACTCACACACAGTTTAGAATGAACTGATATTTTGGTTATATTGAGGTCAAAATGCAAGCACAGTAAAATGACAAGAAAGTATGTGCATAGATTAACAGTTAACACTCTTAGCAGAATCGAATAAGGATTGCAACACAGCACAACTTTAATCATTTCTTAGATGTCTTACAATTCAGAATTTAAAGGAAGCCCCAGTTCTGAGATGTTTCTTCCCAAGTGAAGTGAAGGGAGACAAATGACAGGCTAACTGAGTTTTGGGATCTCGGCTACTGGTGGCTAGGTTTAAGGAAAAGAGCTCTTTTCTTAGATATGTCAATAGCTCTCAGAGGTACAACACTGGTGATGTAAGGTGCAGGATGGACAACAGGGTCTTTCCCCAAACTCTAGTTGCAAAAAGGGGTACTCCAGACCCTCCATATTATGTCCCTACTTTACAGGAACCTTTCCCTGCACCAAAGCCTATCTTTTCTTGCCAGCATGTACCTTTAACAGCCTATTCACTCCCCATACTGCAGGGCATACCAAAATGACCCAACAGTAGCTATATGTAGCTTTTCTCAGTAAAATGTGGCTGTGTTCAGTCAGCCACAGGCTCTCCCAAGATGGCCACCAGGAGTCCAGTTCCCACAGCACCAAAGGTACTTTTTGACTGCTGCCTTTTCCACCAACTCTAGATTGATTCTGCTCATCAGGTGCAATAGCGGTTGCCAGCGCACCACCGCTTACATACAGATGTGCAGGATAAGGGAGGTGAAGGGTTAACATAGAGACAACATGGATATTAGATGTACAGTTGGGGTGGGGATGGGGTTTAAAGCAAACCCAAAAGCTAATTGATACGCTAAATATCTGTTACTGCCTGTGATCTGGAACTAATAATTGAATGATTAATGTATTCATTAGTTGCTCCTTTCTCCCTTTCCTTCCTCCCCTTGTAACAGAATGGTTTCGGCTTCTCAGATGTAAACACTACACTGTTTACATCCGTGATCGC